CTCAGTCAGCGCAGAGAGCAGAAGTGAGAGCTTTGATTTCAGCACTAAAGTGGGCGGAAAGCAAGAAAATGACTATCTTTACAGACTCCGCGTATGCTTTTTGTGCAGCGCATGTTGAACTGGCGCAGTGGAGGAGAGGAGGTTTTCTGACAGCTAACGGTAAACCTAATAAACATGAGGCAGACATGAGAGAATTAGAAACAGCACTGATGTTACCTGCAGAAATTGCCATTGTTAAATGTTGAGATCATGATTCAGATTAATCAAACATAGCAAAAGGAAACTGTCAAGCTGATTTGGAGGCGAAAAAGGCCTCAGGATTTATCAACTGGAGTCAGATGGTGATGTCAACACCAGAAGAAGAAGAGGTGATGAGATGGGATGAAGAATCCATCACCTGTTGCCAACAAGGTGCAGCTCCAGAAGAAAAGGCAGTGTGGAGTGAGAAAGGAGCTGAACAAAGACCAGATGGTTTGTGGATAAACCCGGAAGATGGGAGATGGGTACTCCCACTGAGCCTGAAGAGGAGAATTTTCGAAGAAGTTCATGGTTTGGTTCATGTAGGGGTACACCAGATGAAGAGGAATGTCGTCAACTGGTGGCACCCATATATGAACTCTTTGATCAGAGCGTTTGTGAAAGAATGCACGTTATGCAGTTTGTATAACTCCAAGCCAGCTTTTAAACCGCGTCAACAAGGAAAGTTTCCTACGGACATGACACCGGGTCGTGAGGTAATAATAGATTACACTGATATGATTTAACCAGTACGAGGTTTCAGATACTTGTTGGTTTGCGTCGACACGTTCACTGGATGGCCAGAAGCCTGGCCCGCTAAAAAGGAAGATAGTCAAACGGTAATCAAGTGTTTAATAAATCAGTACATCCCCAGACATGGGTTCCCAACTCTAATTAGGTCGGATAATGGGATTCATTTCAAAAATGCAGAGCTGCAGAAGGTTGAAAAGGCCTTGGGTTTGAAGCATGCTTTCGGAACAGTTTACCACCCCCAATCACAAGGAAAAGTGGAAAGATTGAATGGAAACCTGAAACAAAAGTTATCAAAAATCTGTGCACAGACAAATTCCAATTGGCTTGATGCGTTGCCTATCGCCCTCATGGCGGTAAGAGCTTCTGTTAACAGGGGTACAGGTTTCACCCCTTATGAACTGCCCACAGGAAGGTCGTTCCCAGGGCCCCAGCAAAATATGGAGTGGCCCTCAGAACAGGTATCTAAAATGACACACAAAATGTACTTTGATACACTAAAAGGTATGTTGTCTAGTTTCCACCTACAGATCCCTGAATCCAATAC